CCGCTGCAAAAAAATGATTTATTAACGAACGCGGAAATGTTATCAGCAAGCGCCGCCCCGACGCGACCGCTCGACGCTATCGGCATACTAACGCCGTCTTCAATTTGTTATGATCCGTTTGATTAAACCGGAGCCTTTGTTCGCATATGCGCGCTCTGCGTCCGTAACGACCGTCTGAAATTTTCACGGCACGCCCACGAAACGCTCATGACGCGTTCAAATTTTAAAGTTTCAACAAATTAAACAACCTTGTACGCGATCTTATCTAAAGCGAATTTGATACGTACGCGAAGGCTATAGCGTTCGTATTCATTGCGATGCAAAATGACACGAATGCTGCGATATTCAAATTTATAAGTCATATTATTGCGCGATCAATTCTATATACAGTAATGTCTCCCTAATTGACGCACAGATTGTGCACAAGAATGGACAATTTGGGAAGAGGAGATACGATTATTCGTATCTATAATAATCTATATTATTATAAATTATAATTATAATTATAATAATATAATAAATAATAATAATATAATATAATATATATAATATAAATTATAATTATAATTATAATAATATAATAAATAATAATAATATAATATAATATATATAATATAATATAATAAATAATAAACATAATAATATAATAAATATAATAATAATTATAATAAATATAAATTATAATTATAATAATACGAATAATTATTTATTCGTATTATTGATACGCAAAAATTGATGGATATTGGTTGGGAATCGATGTTACACCCAACGTATAGCCCTGATCTCGCGCCATCAGATTACCACTTATTTCGATCCCTGGACAACTCCCTTCGTGGTAAAACTTTTAACGACGATGACGCTGTAAGATCGCACTTAACTCAGTTTTGGGCCGAAAAGGATCAAACTTTCTACGAGCGTGGAATTTTCAAGTTGTCGGAGAGATGGCAAAAGATCATCGAACAAAATGGAAAATACATTACAGATTAAACTTCGTTCCAACTAAACAAAAATTTTTTATTTCATTGAACAAATCGGCAATTACTTAGTTGCCAATCCAATAGTTTAAATCACGTGGCCATTTTAGTAGCTCGTTTCAATGTTCACTGTCCGCGAACGCGTTAATTAAATTGTTAACGTCTACCTAGGATAAATTCCGTTTCCACATGCATTTCTCTTCTTTCTATCCTTTTTCCTTATCTTGTACCAGCTCTTTTGCCAACGTATTCAATAACGTTCCCGTTCGTTTTCTACGCGTACAGTCGATCCTGCTACGACACGATACTTCGGGAACATGGCTTCTATGCAACACCGTGTGAAAATTGCGACACGCTGCTTTTACAGCCCGGTATTTTTATAACACGATCTTTTTTTCTGGCGCGGCTCGTGTCGGTGGCGGAAATGTTTCCATCGCGACACAGTTTTTGTTGACATAAGCAGGACGTTCGAAAAGTAAAAAAGATCCAGCGAACAACGACTACAGAAGCTAGCGACGGTAATTATCGAAGCGTCTAACGACGAGTTTTCGGCATTTTTGACAAATTCGTACCTTTCATTTTTTGCGGAAATGTTCAACGATCGTTTCCGTTGCATGGAATCATTGAAAATAATTTAAACGAATTTTCTTGGATTTCTGTCGTATCGAAATTTCACGCGTTACATGTCAGAACAGTCGGAGAAATAACGGTTTAAAATAATAGTAAACGCATTTTGTGTACGTTCCCAAAATTGATCTTCCGTTTCTATCGTATTTTTAGAAAGCAACGCTTGTAACAAATTCCGAACGCTTGTATCTATTCGATAAAGCATTTCCGGACATCAATTTATATGATTATATTATCTATATGATTATGTTACTCATGTTATTATTTATATTGTTACGACGACTTGTCCAAATCGAATCGCTGTAACGTGAAACTGCCCTGTTGCGAGCAACTCCTTAAAAAAATAATGGAAGATAAGAGTTGCCACGGAAGAGTGTTACCAATAGACAATCGAAGAGTCGAGATCGGACCGTCGAACGAGCAACATTTCAAATTGAAAGATCTGAAATATAATTGTATCGAGTTGTATTATAGTTTATATTCTCTATTGTAAATAAAATGCCGCGACGCGAAATAAACGGAGTGATTCGCAACATTTTATTATTATTATTTACACATTATATCGTATTATTTTGATCCATTTGTCCTTAGCAACAGATAGCATAAGTTTGGTCCCAATCTCCCTGCCCATAAAATACTAAATAAATGAATAAATAAATAAATTTCATAAAAGACTTCATAAAACACCGCGAACGCGACGCCCACGCACATCGTTTACGCTTTGAACTCCGAGAACCATGCGAAACCGGCGCGTAAACGCCGCGCGTCGAGGCGATTATGCGAATCAACGCGTGTGTCTCCGCTCGAGATGCGGATAACGAAGGGAGGAGCTGCGGTGTCCCTCCCGGTGAATTGATATTCAAGGCGAGTCCAATTAATTGAACGGTTCCGATCGGACCGGAGAGCCGATAATTGGAATATTATCCGTTTCCTCGGGAAAATACGCCGCCGCGCCGCACCGCGCCGGGTGAAACGACGAGTCGCATCGGCAAGGTCGGAGTGCAGTTACTTAAAAATTCATAACTTTCGTCGCGGATGGTATGCGTTCAGAATTTCACGGCGCAGATTGTATCACGACCATGGAAATTCGAAATGGGCCTCGACGATCTACGTTCCACCGACTGGCCTACATTCCGTCGTATCGACGAGCATCGCTCGAGCATTTTCCTTTTTTATTTATTATTCGCTGTACGGGCAAAAAAACCCGTTAGCGCATAATATATATAGAGAGAGAACCGATCGGTTGCGCTCTGGGGAACAAAAATTTCAGGAAAAATGAAGGAAACGTAGCTACAAAATTACGCTACGTAAAAAATAAGATGGGTACAGTAATGTCTCCTTTACCGACGCTCAGATTGTACACAAAAATGGACAATTTGGGAAGAGGAGATACGATTATCCGCGCCTTGCGGCTCATTATTATAATTGTTGACAATTTATAACCATAAAAACGAGCCAAAAGGCTCGAATAATCGCTCCTCCTCTTCCCAAATTGTCCAGTTTTGTGGACAATCTGGGCGTCAATTAGAGAGACATTACTGTATTAATTCTTATGGAATTAAACTTGTATAGCAAAAATTGCTTCTTCGACATTCCTATACCTTTTGCAAATCTTGTTCAAATTAAGCGACCATTTTTAATTTTTAGAAATCAGAAGATAATTTCCCCGTTCGGTTATCGATCGATTGGATTCAAAACGGGCAGATCTCGCCGTTCGGTTTGGCCAAGCGTTAAATATAAGAATTTTTCAACGATGTTCGAAACCAGTCGTCGCGAGAAACATCGAATGATTCTCGAAAGCTTAGGGAAGCTCCCGAAGACTTGCGCGAGTATAATGATCGAGCATTGTCGATCGTAACCACTCGAAACCGCGGAAAACTGGAATCCAACTTCCCAAATCGAATCGCAGAACCGCGAATGCCATTCAGCCGCGACGCACGCGACGAAGTTCAAGATCAAAATGCTCGGTCGACGGGAACTCGATAAAGAACACGCTGCGAAATTACGGTTTAACACGGTTCGGTCTGAAATCGCATTGTTAGTGTCGTTGGGGAACCACTGGAAATCGGTCGATCGAAGAATTTTATGGTACGAGACCATTTGCCAAAATGATTGCAGAGAAATATAGCGCGTGAAACCATCGTCGGTTCAAGTACAGTAACGTCTCTCTAATTGACGCTTGGATTGTCCACAAAAATAGACGATTTGGGAAGGGAAGATACGATTATTCGAGACTCGCGGCTCATTTTTATAATTATTGACAATTCAATTTAACTATAAAAACGAACCGAAAGACACGAATAATCGTATCTCCGAGATCGAATCGAAGAATTTTTGAGAAAAATCAGACTCGCTCGCAGATGTCAAAATATTCGCATATAATCGCGGACTATAAAATTAGTAATTGAAATCTGTAAAAATCTTTAATGTTAATCGCTGTAACAAATATACCGATTCGCGGAATTACTAAAAATACTCGATTGAATTGAATTTTCTCCCTTATCTGCAAGAACTACGGTTACGGTAATGTCTCTCTAATTGACGCCGAGATTGTCCACAAAAATGGACAATTCGGGAAGAGGAGATACGATTATTCGAGCCTCGCGGTTAATTTTCATAGTTGCCGATTGTTAATCATTATTACCACGAGGTGCAAGGCTCGAATAATCGTATCTCCTATTTCCAAGTTGTCCATTTTTGTTTACAAGCTGAGCATCAATTAGAGAGAATTTACTATAGCGCGCGGCGTACAGTAATGTCTCCCTAATTGACGCTCAGCTTAGAAACCAAAGCGGACAATTTGGGAAGAGGAGATATTATCAACAATATTGTCAACAATTATAAGGACGAGCTGCAAGACTCGAATAATCGTATCTCCTCTTCCTAAACTCTCATAATCGGAAGGGTAAACAAGCGATCGCTGGATCGTGAATATTTATGCGAATGCATATTCTTTTAGAAAATTGGTACACGAACGGCACCCGAACAGAGAGCGGCGATCGGGTGATTCCAAAAATATATTTTATACTTTGCATATTTTGCATAATCCATATGTTTTGCATATTTATAAAAACATACGCGATAATATATTGGTCGTGTACACGCATACATCGCGCTCGTCCGAATCATCTATCTTGTTGAATTAATTTACTCTATTACTGGGCACCAGTATCATAACCGGATTACGTTGCTACCGGTTATATATCAATAGAACGTTGAATTTACGCGGCAGAAAATCATGTTCTCAAAACATCGAGTTAGTAATTGAACATTAGGCGCAGCTATTAACGTTTCGAATTCAGCTTTATCTCTGAAGCGACGAGGTGAATTTTGCTCCCAATTTCATTCTCGAGAAAAACAACGAACAAAGCGTTTCTCGTAAAACATGCGATAAAAGCGTAAAGTGCGATCGAAAATCACAATTAGTATAACGCCCGTGGCACGACACTGCTCGAATAAAATATGCGTATCGCGCGTCACGGAGCGGTCATTTTCGGCGTGCGAATTAATTATTACCGACAAATTATTACGCGTCTTCACCGCGCATACCGTGCATATTTTTCGCGAATAAACGTCAAATCGCTTTTCGCATATTCAACGCGCATAAAGATCCGCGGTTACAGCGATCACGAATCGCAGTGATCGGAGATCACAGAAACCCGATGATCGTCGTTCCAGTGGTCAAACACAGGTCACTGACTCTCCGCTCTAGATTGGACGGCCTCTTATTGGAAATGTTACGGTTTCACGGTAATGGTACAAAAAAAAAGGAGCAACGAACGTCGATTCTTCAACTGCAAATGGCGGATCTTTTATCGGCGGCATTCGATCCCGCGGTGGCCGACCGAGGAGCGCCGGGAAATTGCGATGCATTAGGCCGAAATGAAAATCGGATCGGCCGTTTCTCGCCGAGCTTGATATCGTCGGGTCAACTAAGAACTGTCCTCTAAAAGGGTCGAGCGTTCGCCGAGGCCTCGATTTCGGTGCCACGGTCCACCGAGCCTCGAACAGACGCGCGACCACCGAACATGGATAATGTCGCGGCTCGCTGGGAATCGAAGTGTGCGCACCGCGACAATCGCGCCACTCTGTGCACGTGCACGTCAAGGTGCCCCAATTTGCGTGCGAACACGCGGTAAAAGCTCGTCCGGTGATTTACAATACATCGGGCAACTACAGTGTCCGGCATTGTCGGGAAAGGGGGATACTTTGTGCAACAAAAAAGGGGGACGAGAGCGACGGAAAAGTGGAAAGAGACGGCACGGCCGTCGGGGAGAGATGCGGGGCGAACCAGGAAAGCTTCGACTGTGTCGTCCCCGCGGCAACCAGTGTGGAAACACGAACGAACGCGAGGACCACGGGGTGGTCCCTTCCTCCCGAAGATTTACTATCACCTCGACGAACGCCGCGAACGGTTTCCTTCGAGCCATCGAAACTTTCCCGCCGACCACGCGATTTTCGAGCCGGCGGAGGACACAGAATTCGCGTTGCCACGCGAGCCACCGGAAATTAGGTTTGTTATAATACAGCTTGCACGGGGAACTCGGCGCTCCCGGGATCCGCGCGAGCCGTTCCAAAAATCGCCGCCCTTCTGTCCTAGTTGAGAACTCGACGAACCTTCGAACAAACATACAGGCCGCCCCGGAAAGTCTCTCTAGAATGAATCTCCGATTTTCGGCATATTCTTGACACTCGAACTTTCGTAAACTAATTTCGCGTGAACGACTCCCGCGGCAATAAACCCGGGTCTCGACCGCGAGCTTTATGTACGCCGCGTTTTAACCGTTCGCGTTTCAAAACCGTTTTCTTGCCTTTTACTTCAAGAACTTTGCCATCGCAACTCGAGCATATTTGCATATCCATTTTCACAAACTACGTTGGAACACTCGAGAAACGCCGCGATTGTTATTCAATGAAGACTGTTGATCCTTCGCACTTGAGCGACGTCAATAAATATTGCTGCACGATTCTTCTGGATTATTTTAACGGGTATCGAATCTACGCTCTACGATCTGTTCAGAGTACGAGTATCTATCCGCAATTAATTGGTGATCGATCATCGTACATATACAGATCGTTCTTCTTTATCCGTGAATAAAGAATAAATGTATATTAAATATATTAATCGATTATAATGTCTATTATATATTAATAATATAAAATCTATTATATATTATTAATATATTAATCGATAAAATGTCTCGCAATCCGGAAATGGGAGGTTCCCGAGGTCATTCGAAGCAACTTTTCCCTTTGCGAAAATTTTCTCCGAGGCTTCGTTTACGAGTTATTAACGGAAAACACTGACCAATAAGAGGCGAGCTCGGCTGGCGCGGGGCGGCCCAGCCAACGAGCGGTCGATGCCCAGTTACTCTAATTGGTTCGGCAGCTGATCTCGCCTTTCATTGGTCACTGTTTTTCGTTGATAACTCGTAAACGAAGCCTCGTAGAACATTTTCGCTAAGGAAAAAGTTGTTTCAAATAACCTCGGGAACCTCTCGGTTCGCGCTCGTACAATAATTTTGGGACACGTTGTACAGCTAAAACTCTCAGTCGTTTTCGTTTCATACCGACGCGAATTCGACCGATCACGTACGAAAACTCGGCGGTAAACGACAAAGCAAGAAAGCGGTGACACGGTTTTCGGATTTATTCGAAGGCCTGCTTGGCCGTTTCTTTCGTGATAAAACTCATAATCGAATATCGAGGTGGCGCCTGGGAGGGGTCCTTGTGATGGTTTTTCGGGTTATTAATCGCGGACGGGGATCCCGGGCATGTAACGCCGATATTTCGCGCGGGGGAGAAAAAACAACGGGCGGCCCGGCCCGGCCCGGGGCGAGTCCAGTCGCGCGAACCGAACGATAAATTTTACGTCGTTAATTCTCCGGCAAAGCCGAATTGGTCTGCCTTTGTTGCACCCGGCTGCGAACGGCGATAAATCCACGATTCCGATATCGGTCCCCGCTAAAAGGTTACCGACGAATTAATAACTGATCGCGTCCTATAGATAGTCGGCGAGGGGCCGAGGAGGGCGATGGGTCGGCGAGACTCGCAATTACGTCGCGCGTTTTGCTCTCCTTGATTCGTTAAAAATTCACCGGTCTTGATTGACCAATTATGGTTGGCCGCGATCCGAACACCGGCTGCCGCCTTTCCGGATCGGTAATACAATTTTCGAGATCGACCGGCGGTCGGCGACGGTGCTCGTTAATAAATTGTTCGATCCCGCACCCACCGGCGTAATTAATCTTCTTCGGGCGACTTCTCGATGGGAAATTCTGCTTTCGCAGCCCCTTGACAGGCTCCGTGCGAATATTTTTCTCATTACGAACGCGTTCGACACCGTGGAAAGCAATTACCATTCTCCATTAAATGTCGTTTTTCCCGTTATTATTTTTCTTCCTTTTTTTTTTTACTTTTTCAACGCCCGCTCGAATTCTCGGCTGGTATATTAATTGCTGTAGCAATTTTTGACGGACACGAAACGGACGTTGGCGCGTCAGGGTTTCTTGCACCGGCGACTCTGCCCGCGTTATCTGGCCGTCCGTTCCTCGTCGCATTAATTACCGAAAACCGTGGCAAACCGGGTTTAGCCGCGAAATTTATGGGATCGCAGCGCCGCCAGCGATAGCGATCAGAGTTCCATATAATGCTCGGCCGTAGTTCCGAAGATTAATAATACCTTAACCACGGGATTTGTCGTTCAAAGTTGACGGCGCGCGAGCGAGGAGAGAAGTTCCCGCGATTCCCAGAGATTCCGAGCGATTCCGAGCGATTCCAAGCGATTCCCAGCGAGCCGGGAACCGAATCTACTCGAAGCGCAAACCCTGTCGAGCTGTAGCTGTACGTAACTGCATGTGCTAAGTGCACCGACGTGCTTAGTAAATTCAATGTAACAAGTCGAATCTCTGCTAGGAGATCACCAGATTAACAAACTGTTAATACAGATTCCATATATCGGGTGAGGTAAAAGTCGTCGGTTTTATCCCAATTTAGGGAGAGGAGATACGATTGTTCAAGCCCAATTTAACCTCGTTTTTACAATTGTTGACAATCGCCGACTATAAAACTGAGTCGCGAGGCTCGAATAATCGCGTCTCCTCTCTCCAAATTGTCCATTTTTGTTTACAAGCTGGAGGAAAATTGGGCAAAATTCGCTGCAGAGATCGACGTTCCTAGATAACGCAATGATCTTTGATAGATCCATTCGATACGAATAAAAGGTAATACGAGTAAAATAGAAAAAAAAACACGCGTATACGTATCGTGTAACAACGTTTTCGTGTCGCGTCCCAAAATGGGAACATCGAAAATGAAACACCGATGCCAACAGTTGCATAAATCGGAACAATGGAAAAATTGCGGTACACGATATGGAACGCTGTGTTCTTGCACAAAGATACCCGCATTCGAATAAACATTTATTTTCGGCTGATTGTCGCGTAACGGTACTTGCGCGAGCGAATTTACGGTCAAAAATATGGGCAGAATTCGCTTTCGGATTTTTATGGGCTATTTTTCAATAGTGCCGCTGTATCGAGAAAAGGTCACGAGTGATCGGCGTTTCGTAACAGGTGCTTTTGCGTAATAACATTAGACAACGGTGTCGTAAAATTCGTCCGACCAAAATGACCCCGCCGAGAAGATTAGCCCGAGGTGTCCGAGACGCGACTCGCAGATCGGCGGAACGTTATCGGAATAAAGGAGTTAACCTTTTAGGCACGACACGCCACTATAGTGGCTTGCTCTAGTAGCTCACTCGCTCATCGTTTGAATCAAATAATCGTCTTCATACGCATTGTTTCACACTTCTTTTTGTCTTCGCATCGATTTACAACAGTCTATAGGGTGTCCCAAAAATGTCTCGCAATCCGGAAATGGCGGGTTCCTCGGATCATTCGAAGCAACTTCTTCCTTTACAAAAATGTTCTCCGAGGCACCGTTAACGAGTTATCAACGAAAAACAGTGACCAATAAGAATCGAGTACGGCTGACGCGAGGCGGCCCAGCCAACCAGCACGCGAAGCCCAGTTCCGCTCATTGGCTCGATCGCCTCGCGCCAGCCGAGCTCGCCTCTCATTGGTCACTGTTTTTCGTTCATAACTCGTTAACGGTGCCTCGGAGAA